AATGTGTATACATACATAATAGAATTACTCAACCTTAAAAAGAAATCTTGTAATTTCTGGCAACACAGATAGAATTGGACATTATCCTAAGTAAAACAAGCCAGGCACAGAAGGACAAATGCTGCTTGCTCTTGTTTATATGTGGAATTGAAAATAATCAAACTCAAATCACCTTTGGGTTGGAGGGAATAGGGAGATGATGGCCAGAGTACAAAAGCTTAATTTGACAGGAGGAATTAGTTGTTTTGTTTGTTGCTTTGAGATATATTACTCACCATTGTGAATACAGTAAATGATAATGTATTGTACATTTCAAAATCACTGAAAGTAAGCTTCAAATGTTCGCCCCCCCCCCAAAAACAACATAGGTATTTGAGGTGAAGGAACTGATAATTATCTTGATTATTCCATATTATATTTATAACTCATAACATCACGTCACGCCCCATAAAGATGAACAACTAGAACTTGTCAATTTTCACTTTAAATAGAATTTTAATTAAAATTAAATGAATAGTAATGGGTAACATAATGTTACCTAGGAAAGAATAAATGATGGAAGAGAAGCAGAACTAGAGTCATGCATTGCTTAAGATGAGTGATTACTCAATTTTATTGTGAAAAATCATAGACCAGAATGGTAGAGGTCAATCACAGGGCATGGTCTCAAAATCTAATCCAGAGACACAATAAACACTAAATGTCTGAGGTTGCTGCCCACATAACATAACATACTATTTTACAGTGAGTTTTTTAATAAGTAGAAGAACACTATAAAATAGTGTACCAACAAAACAGGCCAGGGTCAAGGTGACCTTGGTCATCTCCAGCTGACAATAGGTGATCCACTATCTAATCCCTAGTTGTACAAGAGTTGTTCTGTGAGTTTTCTCTTGGTGACCCAAAACCAAGATAACCCAGCTATGATATAGACATTACCCCAAGAACTCTGCTCTTCCTAAGTGAAAAATTCCACTAGTTCAACATACATTGAACAAATTCACCAAAAGTCAAACCCTGTTTGGTAAAAACATTATCTGGAAAAAATACCATCTCAAATTAAAATACCTTTTTGTATTATTAACCAAATAATCAATTTTTAACTACTTTGATGTTCAGTAAAAATTGCTAACATAAAGAAAAAATTCACACAGATCAAAACCACATACAAGATAACCATTTAAAATACCACCCACAAGATAACAATTTCTAAAAAAAAAAAAATACAATAAGTAATTATTTAATTTACTAAATGTTATATAAATCAATCCATAACACATTTGGGGGTTCTTAGGATAGGGGGTTTCAGAAAAAACACACATTAATGTTTTGTTGTTCACATAATTTCAAATACTAAGTAGGTACACATATGAAGGAAATTGATAATCTGTCCAAATTCTGTATCTAAATCAGCTGCTCAGGACACAGACATCATCGACCTCTGGAAGGCCAGTGTAAATGCAGCACTGAACGCATTTGGCCTACAGCATCACACTAGCCCACACATTCTACCAGAGTCCTGGCAACAGGCGTTTGGCTATTTCCTCCTGTTTCCTGATCATGGAAGAAAATTCCCCTCACCTTTGAATGAAATACACCAAGGTTCTGTGCAAATCAAATCTGCAGGACTCAGCGTCCCTTTCAACATCCCCTGAAATTTTTCCTGTTTCTATTTTGACCAGGAATTCTGATCTGAATTCTCTGAGCTCTGAATTCTCAGAGCTTTGCTGGGGCTTCTGCTAAGACCCCTTCATGCTTCCTTTTGTGGCAAATGTTTGTAAGAATCCCTTGCCCTCCCTTTGTTCTCCCTAAGTCCCCCTACAGCACATACACACACACACACACACACACAAAATGTAAGACGCCTGGAGGGCAAAGTTAGCATTTTCCTATTTTTCTTTAAAACATCCCCAATAGTGGAAACAACAGAGAAAGCACTGATAGTGCAATTAGTTTGCATATATTGGCTGTTTATATACAGATTATACTGTGTCTATTTTTGTTAAGAAAACAAACATCATTTAAATTAATGTTGCCTGAGTCACAGTGTTATCATTTCTCCTTGTTAAACCCTGCTCTGGCTACAAATTCAGAATTCTTCATTGAGAAGATTATTAATAAATTTATGTTAAACAGATTGAACTCAAGACCAATATCTAGTTCCCTAAAGCAATGTCTGATGCTGATTCTATCACTTTCTGTTTCAGGGTCGCTGGCTTATTGTATAAACTCCATAGTCTATGAAACAAATCAACGGATGCTAACAAGGATGAGCTTAAGGTGGAGAATTTGAGGACAACCCCAAGTTCAGTTCTTTGCTGCAGGTGGAGATCCAATGACTGGTGTGTTCGCATTCTGTCACCAGGGGGCGCCAGCCACTTTATTAAGCAGCAACCACTACAAGGTGCCAGGTGCCCAGCCCACAGTTAGTCAAGTCTCTGAGAAAGGCATTAATACTGACTGAGATGCCTTTAGGGAAAAACTGCTCCAAAACAAATCAAGGAAAACCGAAGTTCTTAGATCTAAATTTCGAAGTTCTAATCTAGAATATTGTTTGGTTTTTGTTATGACCATCATTACATGTTTAACTTTCGAGCTAACAAAAGCAAATCCATGATGAAATAAACATTAAGTTTGGGGGTTCCTGGTGTCCTCATACACCTCTATTCATGCAAGGACTTCTGTAATGCCTTGCCACCATTAACAAGCTTCATTGAAAGTAATGTAAGTTAAATCAGATGGCTAATAAACTACATAGCATCTAAACAGAGCAACAAGAAAGAAACAGAGAAACAGTGCAGCAAGAAGAGAAACTGAAGATACAGAAGAGTATTTCTTCTTTTTTTTTTTAGCACTTTTTTTTTTTTTTTTTTTTTTGGTGGTGGTACTGGGGCTTGAACTCAGGGCCTTGCCCTTGGTAGGCAGGTGCTCTACCGCTTGAGTCACTCCACCAGCTTAGACTGAAGAGTATCCTAGATTCTGAAATGGGAAAAGCTCATTTGTTCCTTTGGATGACTCTACTGTGGCCTACCGTGTCTGCCATTGGTCTCATCATTACCCACCAATATCAGGTCTTTTATTCCCCTACTTTTCAAGCCTTTTCTCTCTTATTGGGAGTGATAACAACATAACCAACTGGTGGTAAATGCAAAATTATGTAATAATTTAACATACATATGAGAGACTATTTTTAGTTATTCATTGTCTCAGTTATTCATAAGGCAACCTTATAGGTTAATTATGGAATAAACCCAAGAAAAGTGATGAGCTTCCCCATTATTTCAGACAGGACAGCACTCTCTCCATGTTGTTGTTACCTACAAAAAGGTACCAGTTTGTAGTCTTATCATTGTTGTGTAAAGGGAACAAACATGAAGGGGAATAAATGCAGAAATGCAGCAAGGAATTTAAGGGGAGCAATGACAGAGGTGACTCCATTTTGGATGAGGTGGAACTTTAAAAGCTGATATCTAAAGAGACATCTAACAGGCTTTTCAGAAAAATAATGAGTCTCTCACCAAAGCAACAAGCAGCTGCACAGTGTGAGTAGTGGGCCCCATGGCCAGGACAAGTTGGGCAGACTTCCAAGGCCAGGACAAGCTGACCAGACCCTCCTGGAATGTCCAGTTCAATAAGGAGAGGGTCAGACAGGTGGTCAGATTTAATGAGAAGCTGATGAGGCCCTAATCAATCACAAATATGGAATAGTTGGACCTAAGCCAGTTAATGCCCTGTATCGTCTCCTGGACTTCAGCCTTTCTTTGAGTTAGTTCTTTCACTAAATCCCACCCATCAGGGTGCTTTGCATCTTTTCAATAAACCTTGTGTTTGCTTTAATTCTTAACTCCTGGTCTGGAGTCTTCAATCATCAAGTACACTAGGACACCAACCCGGGGAACAACAATCCACTCTCAGTTGTTGTTAATTCTAATATAACAGAATAGGAGAGTTTATGAAAAACCATGCAACCCAAGTTCCAAACAAACTTAAACACAAACTAAACAAGGAAGATAAGAAAGTAAATTTTGCCTAACTGACCATTTTCACACTAAAATGCCCAGCTGCAAGCCCCCCAGGGAGGGTTCTAGGGAACCATAAGAAAAACACACCCTGCTCTTATAAAGTAGAAGCCATCTTCAACTACCCAGAATCTAAGTCTCAGTGACATGGTGCTTGAAGTTGGAAAGCTATTTCCTCTGGCACCCCCAAGGCTGCACCATCCCCTTTGCAGTTTCTGTATAGTACAACTGCAGGAGACTGGGAGGGTCATTGCAGGAGCCCAAACAAAGTCACCCAAAGAATTCAACACTCCACGGAAGCAATCCAACCAACACCACACCCATCCTGACTGGCTTTTCTATCTGCACTTCCTTCTTACTGTGGATGTTTTTATAGGAACCTGGTCACTTTTCCTTTTTTTGCTTACTTTGATAATGACAGAGGCAGCAAATAATTTAGGTATGAAAGAAACCTTACCCCTCCTTCTTAAATTTTGATTGCAATTATACCTTCAAAAGAGTACATCTACTTAAAAAATTAGATGCACAAATAAGAAAACGGCAATCAAAAAGCTTTTATTTATATGGGACAGAAAGAGAGAGCTGGTAGTCAAGAAATATTCGTTAAATGGATGAAGGAGTTACATGGACATTCTATAATGAAGAGACAATTTTAAAAATATCTATTTGAGGATCATTCTCCATTATTAGCTCTTTTCAATATGTTGTATGTGGCATTCTTTAAGACATAATAAATAGTGGCATTATGAGGTATGCATGGTTCTTTGAGCTATTTCCCTGGTGATGGGCTCTCCTTTTGGACAGCAAGTCAACAATCAGAAAGCCATTGGTATGGAGACAGCTTCATATAATTCATATTGGTATGGAGACAGCTTCATAATGGGTGACAATACTCACCCATTGTTATGGAGACAGCTTCTCCATGCTGTTTTTAGATAGGTTTCCAAATCCAAACACAGCACATTTGCTGTACATACTTACACAGTGGCTCAATTTCTGCCTAAGGCTATGAAAGTCTTCCACAAATTGTATTTCTTTGCAAATTTGTAATTGGAGTTGACCAAAAACATCTTCCATGAAGAAGGACAGAAGCTGTTTCTGGAATCTGCAGTTCTTCTATAAAGAAGACACAAAAAATTTCATGAGATAAACCATTGGTTTGTCTGTTTGTCTTTAATGTCACTGAAATATCCCCCAGATTATTACTTCATGACTATTTAATTAAAATGTAGGGAAAAGAGAATCAAACAGGTAGAAAAGTGAAAAAGGAAAATGACATTCTGACTTACCATAAATAGCTTTTTCGTTTTCTTTTTTAACAATCGTATATTTTTAATGTGGTCTTCCTACAATAAAACAAACAGAAATAAGTTGTACCCATGATTGCAATGTCCCTTATACCACCCTTCTAAGCAGAGCCTAATACTTACTGGAATGGTTGCCTTGAGTCCAGCAGCCTTGACATAGAGGGTGTCAACAGCTTGGGATAGTGAGTCCCTTGAGTGACAACTTTTGGAGAAGCGAGATTGAGATTGCTTGTGCTTGGCAATAACAAGAGACAGAGTGACACAAAGCAACCCAGACTTTAAAATGCAATTCACCCACATCTCCCTCTACCCCACTCTGAACTGAGCTCGTGTCACTTGGGGCCTCAAGAGCTGGCAGTGTTGGTTAGATGGGAGGATAACCTACTTACTTCAGCCCTCAAAGCTGCTGCTCTAATGAAATGCAGAGAAAGATGACTTACAGTTTATATAGATGACGATCACTTAGCTTTTTCTATTTTTTTTAGAGCTTGCTTCATAATCAAAAAACTTGACCATACCATCTGGGCCATTATGCAAAATCTCAAGCTCACAGGCAAGATTGGACCCCTATTTGCCCCCCATACCCAAAATATAAAACTTCAGATGCCTATCACAGCAGACTGCATTATTTTGAAAGTCACACCATGCCATGCCAATAAGAAAACATGAGCTCCAGGAGGCTGTGTGATCATTTGTTTTAATCCTCATATGAAAATCTCTGTTTCTAACCAGAATCACAGAAAAACTTAAACAAGGAGTAGGTGAGCAGCCCTGTAAGACTGCTCATGACCCCTTACGTTTGTCTCCCACCTGCCTCTTCCTCCTTCCTTAGAACCATCATTCTGCACCCAGCAGCAAGACTTTTTCTACCTTAGACATTTTAACTCCCACGATGTTTTCGACATTCCTATGTAACTGGACTATGATAAAGTCTACAAACTCCTAGGTTCTCCATCATCTCTGTCCAAGTTTATCACTCAGACTTCCCCTCCAACTCCATGTGCAGTCCAATGAGATTCCCTTGAGGGTCTTTTCACCTTCAAACCCTCAGGATCTACCATGGTGTCTCATCTAAAGAAAAAGCACAATTAATATTCATTGGAAAAAAATATTTCCCTTTCCTCATCATGAAATGCTACTAAAACTGCTTTTTCTAACTTATTGCATTCACAAATTTTTATTAAGGATACGCCCATACAAAGAGCAGTTCTAGGTACTGGAGGGCTAGCATGGGGATCCTACATGGACTCCAGCCTCAAGACTGTCCCAAGTCTTTCTATGGTGATAAGTGATAAGTAAGGTTTATTCTGGGTAGCAGCCTTAGCATTAGAGATGGGCATTGCCCCAGGTTATAAACTAAGAAGCAGAGACCGGTCACCAAAGCTGAGCAACAGTAGAGCTAATGCAGTAACAGGCAAGTCAACACTAGCAGTATGGATACAAGAGATTTGTCAAAACTAGACAGAGTTGGAGGTGCAGCTCAAGAACCTGCTTTGCAAGTGTGAACCCCTGAGCTCAAACCCCAGTACCACCAAATAACTAAGCAGAGTCAATAGCAAGCTTTAGAACCCAGGAATAAATTGAAAATCAAAGCAAGAAAGCTGCCAAAGGAGCAAGAACAAAGAAAAAAAAGGAGGTGACAAGATTGCAATCTTGGGAGTAATTTTTGCTATTTCAGAGGTAAGTGGATCTCTTTGAAGAGCCCAAGCATTATTTCCCCAGGAGCACTTACTGGCCAAGGACACACCCTATTAAATGACATAAGAACTATTCACAAAGAAGGGACAGCAGGAAGCAGCTAATTGGAGGTGCCCAGGGAGACTTGCTGAGACGTTATAAAAAATTCAAGGAAAGGAAGTATATTATTTTTAGTTGGGAATGCTTGAACGAGTGTTTGAACTGGAACATGAAAAACCTGAAGGGCTTTGTGAGCAGAGAAGTGCCTAGTATTCAAAATTCCTTTGGAATGAAAGAAGATAAACTCCAGAGATCAAAAACTCACGTGCCTTCAGAAGGCATGGGATTAACATCAACACCTTTCATTGTTGGAAATAGGACACTTGTGGTTAAACAAGTGCTTATATTGTCAACAAGCTTAAAATCTGCTAACTGCTTAGCCTATTAACACACTGTGTAGGTGCAATGAAAGGACCAAGAAAACACTCCCAGTACCCATGTACTGCCTTGAGCAGCCAATTTAGGATTCCCGATGTGTAGTTTGAGTTCTTAGTGTTAATAAGTGAAGTCGATGTGGGTTCTGGCTGTTTTTGAATCTCTGGCAGTTCCATTTCCATAAATGTCTAATATCCCTCAAATCATCACCATCCTAAAAGAGATCACACATATCCCAAAAATACCTGCGCTTTGTTTGGAAGCCAACTCAAGAAATTGTTGCCATGTCTTAATGACTGAAAATCCTATCACCATATTGATCACAGCCATCTCCATCTCAGTCAGCAGACCGACTTCCATAGCAAACAGGAGGTTTGCTTTAACAGTCACACTGACCTGAACGGATGAATAGTGCCCAACTATAAAGCATACTCAACACACAGGTCCTGAAAGCAACCAAAGCGGTGCCCCAAGAGTGTCTGAAATAACAGAAGAACCATTAGAGTAAGTGCATAATATACTTGGGACAACAATTTAAAATTCTCTGCTTATTGGAACATAGGTTTATCATATCACTTTCACAAGTTTCTTATAAGGAGATATGTAAAAACTGTTATTAATTGCAAGGAGATTTGACTTTGAAACACTGATCCACACTCATTAGTTGTGTCCTTGAAAAGGGGTACTCATCCTCTCTAAGCTTTAATTTTGTCATAAATAAAATATTTTGCCCAATGGCATCCATAGAGGATTCTGGAGGTGGTGGCTATTGCATTATTATGTATTAGGCAATAGATAATAAATGCATGTGTGACTTTTTGGTTGATGTTAAAGTTCATCAAGAGGCTTCAGAAGCTTTGAGAAAAGGTTGAAGAAAGTGAGGAAAGCGACAGATAAGCAACAATCCGACAGCATTTCAGAGTGTGGGTGAGAGGAATTCAATTACTCTCACAGACACCCAGAGGGCAGACTGTGACCATTAAGTCAATATTTCAGGGTGGCCACTCCTGCATAATACACAGAACATTCAACGTGATCTTCCCACAACATACTGACTGCTCCACTTCCTGCTTGCCAGCATGACATCATTTCCTTAAAATTTAAGTCCCTTCCCACGCAAAAGAACACCAGCTGCCCTCTCTGAAGGCACACCAAGCCCAATGAGCAAAGTGAGCTCACCAACTCCTGCAGAGAAGCACAGCTCATGTCAAGTCCTCCACAACACAGCTTTTTCTTTATTGTTTTATTATTCATATGTGCATACAAGGCTTGGGTCATTTCTCCCCCCTGCCCCCACCCCCTCCCTTACCACCCACTCCACCCCCTCCCTCTCCCCCCATCCCCTCACTACCCAGCAGAAACTATTTTGCCCTTATTTCTAATTTTGTTGAAGAGAGAGTATAAGCCATAATAGGAAGGAACAAGGGTTTTTGCTGGTTGAGATAAGGATAGCTGTACGGGGAGTTGACTCACATTATTTTCCTGTGCTTGTGTGTTACCTTCTAAGTTAATTCTTTTTGATCTAACCTTTTCTCTAGTTCCTGGTCCCCTTCTCCTGTTGGCCTCAGTTGCTTTTAAGGTATCTGCTTTAGTTTCTCTGAGTTAAGGGCTAGCAACAAATGCTAACTAATTTTTTAGGTGTCTTACCTATCCTCACCCCTCCCTTGTGTGCTCTCGCTTTTATCATGTGATCAAAGTCCAATCCCATTGTTGTATTTGCCCTTGATCTAATGTCCACATATGAGGGAGAACATACAATTTTTGGTCTTTTGGGGCAGGCTAACCTCACTCAGAATGATGTTCTCCAATTCCATCCATTTACCAGCGAATGATAACATTTCGTTCTTCTTCATGGCTGCATAAAATTCCATTGTGTACAGTATCCACATTTTCTTGATCCATTCATCAGTGGTGGGGCATCTTGGCTGTTTCCATAACTTGGCTATTGTGAATAGTGCTGCAACAAACATGGGTGTGCAGGTGCCTCTGAAGTAACCTGTGTCACAGTCTTTTGGGTATATCCCCAAGAGTGGTATTGCTGGATCAAATGGTAGATCAATGTTTAGCTTTTTAAGTAGGTTCCAAATTTTTTTCCAGAGTGCTTGTACTAGTTTACATTCCCACCAACAGTGTAAAGGGTTCCTTTTTCCCCGAATCCTCGCCAACACCTGTTGTTCGTGGTGTTGCTAATGATGGCTATTCTAACAGGGGTGAGGTGGAATCTTAGTGTGGTTTTAATGTGCATTTCCTTTATTGCTAGAGATGGTGAGCATTTTTTCATGTGTTTTTTTGGCCATTTGAATTTCTTCTTTTGAGAAAGTTCTGTTTAGTTCACTTGCCCATTTCTTTATTGGTTCATTAGTTTTGGGAGAATTTAGTTTTTTAAGTTCCCTATATATTCTGGTTATCAGTCCTTTATCTGATGTGTAGCTGGCAAATATTATCTCCCACTCTGTAGGTGTTCTCTTCAGTTTAGAGACCATTTCTTTTGATGAACAGAAGCTTTTTAGTTTTATGAGGTCCCATTTATCTATGCTATCTCTTAGTTGCTGTGCTGCTGGGGTTTCATTGAGAAAGTTCTTACCTATACCTACTAACTCCAGAGTATTTCCTACTCTTTCCTGTATCAACTTTAGAGTTTGTACAACACAGCTTTTTATTTATTTCTGTAGAAGAAAACAACGAATGGAATTCCTAAATTACTAATCCACTTAATTGACTCTAAAACCCATTTTTGCATGTGAATGCATCTGAAATCATGTGTTTTATAATCCACAATCTTAAATTACATCACTCAGTTGGAGTTCATACACAGCTGTCCCTTCCTGTGCAGTTCCAAATTTCCCATAATTGCTACTGATGTCATCACTTCAATTGAACTATGTGGACAGTTGTCACTACCAGTGTTAAACTGAGTTGCTGTTTAAGATGTCTTCATTATATTTTATGAAGATTTCTTCATAAAGATTACTTTATGATTCAGTATAGGAAACGAAAGTTCAAATGTTCAGAGAAAGTCACAGAACAGCAGTGGGGCTCAAATTTGATAGTAGAGAAGCAAATATTTGCTTTTGGAGAAACAACTAAGATTGCATATTTACTTGCAAAGCAACAAACCCTAAATATTAAAAAGGCGTTGCATCATAATTTAATCAGGAGTGCATCTTTTCCTTCCTCGCTGGCAAGAA